ACTCCGCCTGCAACCCAGCCATCGTCCAACTCCCCCAACTGGCTTCAAGACGAATGCGGATCACATGAAATCAGATACTTAGTGATGGGAGGGGCATCTCTGGAATTTAAGCTTAAACCGAAACTGTAGCATGAAGAGCTTTTAGTTCTCACCGTTGCAGTGTTTGGCTTCGCGTCCGTTCCATCCTGTAGTTCTCTGTTGATACTACTAAAAATCCTGCATGACCCTAAGTACCTTATACCTTGGGAAAAATGGTACTATAGTATACTAAGGTCATGTAAGATTTTTCGTATCCACCGTCTCATGGTCTGTCAAGAATCACACCCACTGCAGGATTTCGGCCTCAACACGTTCGTGAAGCCAATGGAAGGCCTGCAGCGCCACTACAACAGGCTGGCTCTCTGCCGGGAAGCTGGCAATGACTAGGTTATCCCCCTATAATGGAGAATCAAATGGAAAAGAAAATGGAAAATGAAATGGAAACTGGGGGAATTTGGGGATTAAGGAACTTAAATTAAGTTACCGTAATGGGTATACATAGTAATTAATATGGTTCCCCCAATACACTAACTTTATTAAGTTCCTTAACAGCAACCTAGATGAAGTAAAGGATGGTTTCCCAGATTGCATGCAAAGCCGCTCAACAAAGGAGAGATCATCTTGGGATGATGGCAGAGATCCATTCAGGTATTCTCTTAGACTCTAGCTCCACTGCTTGCAATCATCCACCCAAACTCCGTGTGCACCGGGGTCCATACGTCACTGGATGTTGATCCATTTCCCTTGCGAGGCAACTGCTTCAACAGAGATTACATTTCATTTTCCATGCTGTTTCTCCACTATTGGGATGGTATCTCTAGAACAAAATCCCTACATAAGTCCCCTTAATATAGTAGTGTGCGTTCGCTTTTCCTTTATGCCTTTTTAATCCCTAGACGTTTTTCAATGACCCCTATGACCCCTGTACAATACCCATGACATCCCTCTCGAATCCCTTTTTACTCCCTAATCCCTAAAGCCGCTGGATACTCCCCATATAATCCCCACATAATCCCAATGTAGTCCCCATATAACCCCCAATTTGGGGAAACCACCAGAATGCAAAGCACCTGAGCGCTGCTGGTTGACAGCGGCGCGGCCTCCAGCGCAAATCAAAGTAAGAATGGTAGTAATAGTAGTCATACTGATCCTGGTATAATAGCACTAGTATGTAATACTGAAGTATCTGTAGAAATAGTAGGAGCAATAAGACAAATAGTACTGATCATGTGATTTCAATTGACTCTCAGTGGCCCTAGACTCGTGCGGGAGGTGCAGACACGTTGAAGGCACATAGCTACGTTTCCCACGACAGCCAGCCCTAAACCCTCAACCCTAAAAGACCTGAAAAACCCTAAAAGCCATAAAAAGCCTAAAAGCCCTAAACCCTAAAGACACTAAACCCCAAAAAAACTAGACCCGAAAAAGATCAAAAGAAAAAACAAACTTGACCCGAACAAAAAAACACTAAGCCCTGATTTCTCCAAGCCTCTACAGCGCCACCTTTCTCCAGATGTAATCGCAAGCCATCCCCAGGGCTCTGCACTGCAGCCGCGCCCAACCTCAGGAAGCCCTTACACATCAGGGTTTAGGGCTTAGGGCTCAGGTTTTAGGGTTCAGGGTTCAGGGTTTAAGGTTTAGAGTTCAGGCTTCAGCGTTTTTTTGTTAGGGTTTATAGGGTTTAGAACTTAGGGTTTACATGAGGATCACATAGGGATTATATAAGGGTTATGTGGGGATTCTTTGGGGATTACAGAAGGGTTACATAGGGATTACATAGAGACTATGTAATATAGGGATTATATAGAGATTATATGGGGAGTCAGTAGGGTTATATAGGGATAATTTGGAGCACAGCCAGAACTCAGCATATTGATTTTGAGTGTATCCCAAACCTACGTAAGATTTATGGAAACCACCCTAAACCCTAAACCCCTAAACCCTAAACCCCTATACCCTAAACCCCTAGACCCCTAAACCCTAAACCCTAAACCCCTATACCCTAAACCCTAATACCCTAAACCCCTAAACCCTAAACCCATCCCCTGGGTCCCCCAGCAAATCCGGCAGGCGCCTCAGGGCCGCCTCCCCAGCATCGGAGGAGAGGCTGCTGCCTGCAGCCTGCGCTGGCGCAGCTTTAGGGTATAGGGGTTTAGGGTTTAGGGGTTTAGGGTTTAGGGTTTAGGGGTTTAGGGTTTAGGGTTGTTTTCCATTGTTCCTAGAGGGGTGTGTCCGGCTAGGCCGTGGTCAAAAAAGCATGTTTGGATTGGGGTATGTTTCGGAGGTATGTTGCGTATTGCTGGGCTCTTGATGAAAGGGACGTTGTGGGAGTAGGTATCGGGGTATGTATCGAGGTATGCATCGGGGTATGTATCGGAGGGGTCAAACATGTGCCTTTTCATGAATTTCTGACCCCCAATTAATGGAAAGACAATTATAGGGATTATAGAGGGGTTATGTGAGAGTTATACACCTCTATATAATTCCTATATAATCCCCATATAGCCCTTATATAATCATTAACAGGTACATGTGCATCAGCAGGATCAAGTAATTTGCCTATGTATGCGTGATTGTTTGCTGTGCGATTCCTCTCTTCGCCCTCAACTCCCTTTCTGTAGGATGGGCCTTCAGCAGCTTTTTGCAACCCACGGCTACAATCCCCCAAAATTTAAACCCTCCACCCCCCCCCCCGCCCGAGTATTTTAAATACTCCCAATATATTACAATATACTATAATGGGAAATATCTAATATTAGGAGGGGTGGGCAGGGCGTGATATTAGGGGGAGGGGATTACACAGACCTGTCCCAAAACCTTAAATCCTAAACCCTAAACCGTAGACCCTAAACCCTAGACCCTAAAAGCTACACCCTGAACCCTACACCCTAAATCCTAAACCCTAAAACCTAGCCAGCCTCCAGGGCTGCCCACATGTCCTGGAGGTTTGCTGCCTCCTCAAAGGCCAGGCAGGCCATTTGACCAAAGGCCACCAGCGCCTGGGTTTAGGGTTTAGGGTTTAGCTCGCAGCCATAACAGCGAAGCTTTAAAAAAAAAACTTTCCACACTCCCTATAGTTTCCATCTTATTTTCCATTATTCCGATATATAACCCCAATGTACTATAGTAGTTTCCATGTTCTTTTCCATTATCCCAATATAACCCCATTAGGTACCCTAATATTACCC